TTTGTATTCTCCAGCACCAAGGTGGATAAGCAACAGTGCATTACTAATGCAATCTTGTAAAGATTGAAAAATACACATTTCTCCAGACAATTTCCTCATGCCTGGTGCTTCCCCCCAAAAACAAACCATTCTGATCCACTGAAAAACCCAAAAGGCACCATTTCAGACTTAGCACAAACCCTACGGTCAGTCCCCGAATGCTCCATTCGTCCCAGATGGCTGGAGACTTCTTTGGCGCTCCCTGTGAGCCATGTGTTATCTTTTTCTAATTGCTAGTTTATGTTTTAACACTTGAGTCGGTCACAGCTCATTCCAAACGGCTTCGCCTCTAATGACTTAACACCCCTCGATGACGACTGAGTCGCACTGCGTCGTAAATCACGGTAATTAAACTTACTCGTCATCACAGATGAGATGGAGATAGAGGTTGAGGAGATGGGGAAATGGCCATCATTTGTCGACATTTGCTTTCTGATTTACAGCGTGTCAAATGTAATATTGGGCGTTGATGATGCCGTGTCAAATCCAATTGAGTGTCCATTACCTCACCATAAACACAATAAAGGGGGCAACACAAGGAAATGGCTCTTGACACAGAAACATAACAATCAGTCATGGTTAAATGGGCTTGTACATCCATGTTCTCTATGTGTATTAAATTACGGAATATTTATCTGCCAGTATATAGTGAGATTTCATCAGGATTAGTGTTCGGGGGCTCTCAAAGGCAGTTCTGCTCTCTGCAGCTGTGCTAAAACCCAATACTGAAGTCCCACTGGCTCTTGGCAGGCTGGAGAGAGAACTTGTGGCTAAATCCCTCCCTGGGCGACCGCTGTGCCCTCAGCCTGACCCAGGACGCCATGGTCATAATACCCCTTATACTGTATGTCTACTCCAAAGGGAAATCGTTCCTTCCAGTCCCAAAAGAATGTCTAGTAAATTCACACTTGGCTGCTTGGTCCAAACTAGAGTTCAATTCCATCTACTCCATCCCTCCCGGCCTTGTTTCACATTGTACCTGCAACAGTACATTCTTAAAAATAAAGGTTTCAAAGGGGATTTCGGAGCAATGCAATTAAAGAACAGTTTTTTCCACCCCAAAGAGCCTTTCAGAGAGCAGGTCTTGAGAACCGTTATTTTCTTAGTTTATAGAACATTTTAATCTAAAGATGCAATGGAAAGGTTACATGTTCTTTATTAAACCATAGCTGATAATAAAGAACCCTTATTTTCAAAAGTGAAAAACAGACGTTATTGTGTGTGTTTGTCTAGTAAATTAAGACTTGCCAAACTAGTTCAATTCTATCTACCTCTCCCTACCGGCATTGTTTCATATTGTACCTACATTCTTAAGAATCAAGCTTCCAAAAGGGATTTTGCAGTGAGAATAATTGCCAGTGAACAGTTCTTAAAAGATCCGTTAGTGCAAAGAATATTAATCTACAGAACCTTTTTCCACTAAAGAACGTTTTGTACAATGTAAAGGTTCCATGGATATTAAAGGTTCCTCATGGAAACATTAATGCTAATAAATAACCTTTTTTTCAAGAGGGACTTTATTGAGGTGTTTGACAACAAATTTACCATGACAACATGACATGCACGGAAGGGCACTTGAGTTTGTCTGCCGCAGAGAGAATCTAAGCTGATTATGCTATTCGCTAATTATAGTCATCAAAAGCTTCACCTTTTCAACTGGACTTGAGTTCAGAAAACTGCTTTCATTGAACCAAATAAATTAAGCAAAATTTTTGTTTGCAGACTGTATAACGTTTTACTATCTCAAATGCATTTTTGACTTTAATACACAAAGTAAAACTCAAGATGTTGAATGTCAACTGAAGTAAATGTAAATTATTAGCACAATAATTACATGTGAGAAGAGTCTCACAGCTGCAGTAAAATCACAAACTGGAGACGCAAGAATTACCTAGTTACTTTTGTCCAAATTAAATGAGCACAATGACGCCAGGGGCGATTTAATCAATGCGAAATAAAAGACAACTCATTTCTTGCATTGCAATGTATCCTGCCCAGCCACAATGCTAAACTTCATATCAGCGAGCCGAGCCAAGCAGAACAGACAGCTGAGATGAAAGTGACATAAGATGAAATTGAGTTAATAGCCTTTGCAATTACCCAAGTTTCTGGATCTCATTACCTCCTCCTAGTCAGTGAGTGTAAAAGTTAGCTTGAGTCTTGTAAAGTTAAACTGCTCTTATTGGTGTTTCTCAGTGGCTGCTGGGGATTAATGGCCAATTCCTGCTGCGGGATACTGACCCGTGTTTCACTTCCTCTCAGCAATGTCACTTCTATTGAGGGTAAAGTGAGGCCGACTGTGCTAATACGATTTTATCTGAGCTTCCCTCATCAAATACTAGATCACATCTTACAGTCTTCACCGAGGCAGAAGTACAGTACATGCAATGCACCCATATATAAAGTACAAAGGGAGAAAGGAAAAGAAAGATCAAGAAATGAGCGTCGTAAACTGAGAATTACGCTTTGAGATGTCCTTCCAATGTCCTCAGCGTTTCTGATGATGGAGCGTGCTTGTAAAAAGTGAAGAAACATTATAATTAAAAATCATATAATTTGGTTATGTTGGTACTTTTAATAGAAAGTGACACAATGGTTACACTGATTGGTTTATCACATTCTCTCTCCTTCAGAACAGCAGTGCAATGCTTTGCTGGCAAAGTATTTTTATTTCAAGTGTTTTTTTGACAAGTGTTTGTTCCCAAACAAAAATTGCATGTAATGACAATACCTCTAAATATGTCACATCGCTTGCAGTACAGCTTTGTTGCAAAGTTACTTATAGTCAGTAGAATGTCTGTTGGAGGACCATCAGAAGTTAGCAGATATTAAGCATTAGTAGTTACTTATACAGTACTTAGAAGATTGGATCATCGAAGAAAAAAAAGTGTTACCTCTGAAGAAACTCCCAATCTAAAGCAATTTATTTAAACAAACACATTAGATAAAGGTGCTCGGAGGAACTTATGGCCGTGACACACCAAACCGACATGAAATAACTAGCAGGGACAAAAGCTGACACACCAAAAGGACTAAAGGTGTGCATGTAAGGAAATAACTGTCTGTATCAACGGGGATCAATAGTCTATATTCGTCATTCAAAAAGGGAAACCAAAACCAGGACTTCAGATATACAAACCGTAAACAAGGCAGTGCTTGCTTACCATTTTGAATTTCAATCATGCTGATCACTTTCTTCGTTCCAGGCAGCTCATGTGGTTATGACAATGTTTGCATATTGGAATACTGGTAAGATGACACAAAGTTAGAACGGCCTTCTTTCTGTGCCGTCTTGACATCTTTGCTCTTTCATAACGTTTGCTTTTATTCTCGTGCACTGACACGTTGGTTAAGCTGAACAGCCAATCAGTTTTCTCTCTCACCGAAGATGCAGACGCACACCAATTCAACGTGCTAAATCGGCCAAAATACCCCAGACGATGTGCTGATGGTGCAGAACAAACCCCAAAAACTGGTCCGTCCGTCGCTCAACAACGGCCGACCGTCGGCTTGGCGTTTAGAAGCTCTCTATTGAAACCAACATCTAGACAAGAGCTGATATCACAGCCAGACTGTGTTTGACCTATTGAAGCATCATTATCATTCTGATTATGCGTTGGCCTCCCAAATTATTAGTCCTCCTCGCATCTCCAGATGGCATCATGCTCTCGATACACTGAACAAAAGAGCTTGACCAAGGGCAAACCAGCTTCCTCCACTTCAACTCACGGAGAAATCTATAGTACTGTAACTCTGTGTAAACCTTCAAAGATGATCACATTACTTTTGAAATCCTGATCTAACATCACTCACAGTCTTGGCAGGCGGTTGATTCGATGACAAAAGCTAGCGCTGGCTTTTAATTGTCGCCATCTGCCTTTTCAGGCCTCATTAGAATGGCGTTCGATCGGACCGTGATACGCCGCATCCGGCCTCTCTCGCAGGAAAATTCACAAGCATTCAACTTTTGGCCTGCTTTCAGGGTTGTGGATATCATATCAAATTAAATTCCTTAATTAACATCCTTCGGGGGTGAACAATTAAACATAATTTCAGAATCGACCTCAGTTGACTTAGCAGGAAAAACTCGACGCCAAGAGCTCAAACGCGGCCTGCTGTGTTGTACCCATATATTTCAACATGCTAGGACTCAAGCAGCGGTAGGGGGTGCGGTTTTGGCTGGCTGTGGAGGTTTGTCTGGTGTGACACGCTGCTCTATTATCCCAGAATAGAACACTTGAAGCTAATTATCGCTGTGTGAGCACAGTGGGCCCTAAGGGGGCTGGTTCCTCAACTTTAGATGTGTGAGTAATGTAGAGGAAGGCTTCAGCTAATCTCTAAAGAACTGACACTCTGATACAGAGCAGCAGTATTTTGTGATGCTCAGCACAGCCAAACTGGGCCACAGGCGGGCAGGGCACTGAAATGAGAGGAGTAAATATTTGTTTGCTCGTACTTACTTACTGTAACCCAATTATTCAAACCACAAGATTAAGCAGGTTATAAAAACAAAGAAATTAGTAATGCATTAACGTTATTGGAGCTCAACAAATGCAAAACAACTTAATGTAAAACAACAATTTAAATGTGCACATTAGACTGTGGCACTGTATATATTCACCTGTTAATTTATTGGTTTTGGTAAAAACATGGAATAAATTCCATGCGTTATTGTGCGGGTGTTGCCCATTTCAAATACAAATGGGGATAGCCGATCATAAAATAAGTAAATTAAATATGAAAGTGTTAAAGCCTGAAACACTCTTATGCAAGCTCAATTTTGTGCTACGCTGCATTATAAATGTGCCTGATTGCAATTCATAATTCAATGCATTCTCTGCGTGGCCACAAGAGGTGCTAGTTTGTATGTTTCTGGCCTAAAGCTTTAAGCAAATGTAAGGCTACGTTCACACACGTACCTGTCAGGTTTTGGGATGGAGAACCGCAATTACTTACAGGTGTGAGTCTTATCACTTTTGACATGACAAGAGTTCAATCGAGCGGAGTTCATCCATCAAATCTTCATTAACCGACAGCCAGCGTTTATATCTGGTGATCCGGTCACGCATAGTACACAAAATTTACTGAACAAGAACAGTGACTGGATCTAAGACCTTGGGATGAGTCCTGAAAATATACAGGTGTGAGTTCGGTTATAGAATGCGGTTGTCGGTCCTGTAAATACCGAACTGTGTGTGAACGTAACCGTATGAAGGACTCAAATACAGGCCAAAGTAAGGTAGATATATAGATTCATATTACCTGTATTTATGTTTGGATGACCAAATATTGGTCCCACTTTATTTACTATGTAATAACATTTCAATTCAATTATTTAAATACAATGCACTAATTGCATACATACATTCTTTACATTGTACTTATATTTAAAAAATACAACAAACTGAAACTATAATAAACCATAATAATAAACAAAAATAACTGCCTCTAATTATTGTTAGTTTTTGGTGTATTATAAAACGTGAAACCTTTACAATCTGCCTTAATTAAGCATGATAGCAACATGCTATCCATGCATTCACTCATTCATACACAGACGGCGGTGTCAGCCATGCAAGGCGCCATCCAGCTCGTCGGGAGCAGCTGGGGTTAGGTGTCTTGCTCATGGACACCTCGACACTTGGCCAGGTGGAACCGGGGATTGAACCACCAACCTTCCGGTTTGTAGACAACCTACATGAACCACTGAGCCACTGCCGCCCAGTTACATAAACTTTCTAAAATTCAAAACTATAATAATAACTGTGGCCTGAATAAATGGGACCATTCCGATATCTGTGGGAAATGCTCATGTAACTAAATTACAGTTGTTTTTGTGAACGAAACCATCCCTTAAATTATGCATGGACTTTAGGAGGAAAAACTGAAGTATGATAAGTGTCGAATATGTCACCATTAAACTTAAAGGGCCCTATCATACACCGGGCGCAATGCGAGTGTGTTTTGCTAGTTTTAGCCCGACGCAGTTATCATTTTCACGTCCTGCGCCACGTTGTTTAAATAGCAAATGCATTTGCGCCCATTTGTGCGCCAATGGGTGTGCTGGTCTGAAAACGAGGTGTATTCAGGCTCATTGATGGCGAGTTGCTATTTTGAGGCAGGCAACTGAAATAGACTGCGACATTGACCAACTGAAACCTGGTCTAAAGTCAATGCCGCAATATTTTTTTTGTTATTTAAAGAGCGCGTTAGTAATGTGCGCCTATAGGCGGGTCCACAGCGCGCGTACACTCTGCTTATTAAACACACAGGGACGCGCAGCAGAACACAAACATGACAAATATTAGAAATAAAAAGATTATTATTGTGTAGCTTGTCCCGTAGATTGTCTGCTTGCACACTTTAACCTCTCGCACAAGCAAAGTTTGTGCTCTGGAGACGCATTCAGTCATTTAAAGAGAATGGGAGATGAGACAGACTCTGATTGGTTTATTGCATGTAAAGCCCAAAACACACTTATTACTCATTAAGAGAATAGGGACCATTTTAGCGCTGACCTTTTTTCCCGTCGTTAAACTAGCAAAAGTGGATTCGGACACGCCCTGTGTTAAAATATTTTTTCTCATATGCTAGATTGATTCCCCTGAAAAATGTAAATGAGGTGGGAACAACAATTTAAACAAATATGCCTTTTTTAGTACACTTGTTCTAAAAAGAGACAAGTGAAAGAGAAGGAGTGTATATTTGAACTCTCTCTCTCATCCAAGATACAGAAGACCTCTGACTGGTAAACCTTTTCAAGAGCTCTTTGTCCAACGCAGGCCTTCCTAACTGTCCACCTCGCTTCTATGAAGGAGCAGGGATGATATGCTTTTAAGCCTCATTACTCCAAGGGTGAAGAGCATTCGTGGAGTAGTGCTGCGCTGACCCTCACTTCCATTAGCATAATTGCATTTCAAACGATCGGGATGTCCAAGAGAAAAAACTATCGAAATGCTCTGACGCGTCGAAAAGCGTTCAGCTCACCTTTATAAACGACATCTGAACACGAGAAGGAGAAAAGAAGAGAGAATCCGGAAGGCCACAGATCACCTCTCCGGCCCAAAGTAATGGAGGATCCTCCATCTCTCCGGGGAGTGACGTCGCAGCCTTCCAGCCCTTCTGATGCTCTTCGGCTGCTAGTTTTCCTCTCCATCCATCTGTCCATCCGTGTTCCCTGTCCAAACTGTCTTTCCGATGGAGTGTATTCTCCCACCAACTGTCCAATTATCTCCCAGCCTCCCTCTGTGATGCACGCCTGCTGACCGGTCGCAGTTTTGTCCGTAGAGCACCATCTCTCTCTTTTTTTTTTTTTGCCGGTGTCTCCATCTTTCTTTCTCTCGGAGAGTGATTGTGATAAATGGATCCAGAGGCGTGTCTGTGGGTAGGGCAGCTTTTTCCCTAGAGCTCTCAGCCATCAATCAGGCTTGTCTCCCGAGTCCAGGTGTCCATAAACATGCGCATAAAATAGGATTTTTTTTTTCAGCAGGTGGTAGTCTGTCCTTGGAAGGAGAAGAAAGTCAAATTGGCATACAGTATATTAGAAACATGTCCCTTATGTCCCACAGGACGCAGTGTTTACAGTTATCTGACAGTCGTTTAAAGACCGGCACAGTCCATCATTTTGTCTTGAAATTGCTTTGAAGGCAAACAGGAGGCCGTTCACATTATGGCCATTGTGCCTCGTTTTGTACAGAAATGCATGCGTGATTTGCTGAAAATATTGTCCAAAAGGAGCAAGTCATGAATAAAAGCCCAATGATGTTGTTGCAATACAGTTGTGTACTGTTGACTTTGACATTTCTGTATCTCTGATCAAAACCGAATCCCTAAACCTTACGGCTTTGTTCCAGGGAAAGGGCAGCTGGTTTTGAAGCTGCTCATAAACAACATATGCTGTGAACAATCCCGGAAACCCTAGAGGCAAAGCTAACCTTGAGGCTCTGGAGCAGATGTTGGAATAGAAAATACTGAAGAATATAGCCGCTTTGGAAATATGACGGCATCTACCAGCAAACTTTTTTTTTTTCTGTGATACGAATAAAGCGTACAGGTCCATATCCACCTTATTTTGCATAGCGGAAGAAAGCTATTTTAACTTTAAAAATCATTCTAATATGCTGATCTGGCTCTCAAAAACATATCTTATCATTATCAATCTTGAAACAGTTTTGCTGCTTAATGTTGATTAATAGAAAGTCTTTAAATTGCATTAAATTGATCAAAAGGTGATGGTAATACATGTGTTTACATTTTTTTGTTACAGTTTAAATATTTGAAATGTCTTTACCATCACTTTTGATCAATTTAATGCTGAATAACAGTATTTTTTATAAAAGTATCTTACTGACCCCAATAGAAAATACTGTAGAAAACCGGATCATAGCTGCTTTGGAAATATGATGTACATGCAGCATGGCATCTACCAGCAAATATGATTCTTTGGTGGTAAGAGTGAAGTGCACATGTCTATACGTTGTGAATTTTTAATAAACCTTTTCCAGAGGGTTCTTTTTTATTGTTGGATGTTAAAATTTCATGTCACGTTATTACGGCTTTCAACTGACAATTTCAGCTGAAAACAATGCATTTTTAATGGAAATTCTCATACTGAAAAGGCATTCAGGTGTAAACATAATCTTGTGCAAAGAGTAGAAATTATGATATATATGAGCCTTTAATTTCACGCACATTATGTTGGTCACATGAAACACTGAAAAAAAAGCTGATTGAAGGTCGGCAGTAAGAGTAAATCTGTGGTTTATATCTCAGTTGGTGTGTGCAATAACAAACTAAAATAGACTCCATGAGTATATTCACTGTGAAGGTGAAACCTCCCCTCAATGCCAGAGACGTGATAGATGGATAATGACAGATCCAATGCAAAAAAAAAAAAAAAAAAAAAACATTCAAAACAACAGCACAGCTGAGTATTATGGAATGGCACAGGGCCAAGTGTCCATACCCACATTTACATTCAGACTCCATCTCTGTATTTCAGCATATATACTATGGGTGAAAAAGAACCATAAAGTTCACTACCCACAGATCGGTATGCATTTTGAATTCATCTGCAATTTATTGTCACTTTTGAAATATAAAAACATTAAAGAGAAATAGATAAATACACACATATATAGTACCGGTCAAAATACGATTTTTTACAAATGTTTTTATGTTTTTAAAGCACTTATGCACACCAAGGCTGCATTTACATATTGAAATATTAGTACAAGTCAAAATAACTGTTTTCTATTTGAATACAAAATATCATTTATTCCTGCAATGGCAAAGCTGAATTGTCAGCATTACTCCAGTCTTCAGTGTCACATGATCCTTCAGAGATCATTTAATATGCTGATTTGCTGCTCCTGATTATTATCAATGTTGAAAATAGTTGTGCTGCTTAATGTTTTGTGGAAACGGCGAGACATATTTTTCAGGATTCTTTGATGTATTATACATTTTAAAAGAACATTTATTAATTTAAATTCATTTATTTGAAAAATTGTGAAAAAATGTTCAATGTCTTTAGCATCACTTTTGATCAATTAAAGTATTAATCAGTATATATACATATATATACACACACACACATATACACAAACCTGCATATACTTGATGTAAATCTGTGACAATCAAATTATTCATGTGTGTATCCTATATATTCCAATAAAAGTTTACATTTTACAAATAAGTAATTTTTGTCTTACAATGCATGGCCCTTTCCTGCTAGTGAATGAACATTAAGCCATTTACGAAAATACTTTTCTGATTGGCTGTGGTTTCCATTTTCACATATGATGTTAATAAAAATGGCTTGTTGCTGCTATCTACACGGTAAAACAGTTCCAAGGATGTCATTGTGTCTCATTCAGCACTAACACTCTCGAAATGGCATTTCGGTCATTTGTGTAATTAGGTTGCTTTCTCACTCAGGCTCATAAAAGCCAGTGAATCAACCAGTGACTCTACCATCATTAGACATCACCTAGCACCCCGTATGCAAATGTAATCTTGAAAAACAGTGTATTTATATTTCCCTGTAGCTTTTGTTCATCTCAGCAGGTGTTTGGAGGAGCTCTGTTTAGAAAGGTACAAAAACATCAAAAGATGTTTAGCACACTATTATAGAGCCTCTAACTGGTTTTACTTTACATATAAAACTCTACTTTCAGTGTTCACATCCAAGTCTCTGTAATCTACCGTGTTCTGCCTTGTCATGATCAAAAACGGCTTGGTTTGTTGTGAGTAAACAGTGTTGCACTAACCGGTCTGCTAAGGCGCAGGGTTGTTTGCTTCTCCTCAGACATGGTCATTTATCCATTGCATGATAGATGCGAGACAGCTCTGAACCCTGATTTGCCGCGTTGCAGAATCCACCCATGTAGCTGAGGAATAACATCCTCCATCTCGCGCTGTCGGCACGCCAGACTGTTTGGCCTGCGGGCGATGTATTAAATGGTATATTGATAATTGAAATCTTTTCGGCTGACTCTGTTTTGCTGACGGAGCTCTTTGGAAGCAGATGGCCTTCATTACTCAAGGGTGTAGGTTGCTGAGCGGAGACACGGATCCAGCCTGTTCCCCGGCTCCGATACTCACTCAAACATGGACCCTGATAGGAAAGAGGAACAAACAAGTAAAATTTCCAGTCAAGTGTAAAAGAAAAGAAAAGATAAGCTCGCATATCTTTCGGTATACACTGCGACCGAGTCGAGCAGGTTCTCTGCTTTCAGACCCTTCCATGTGGTGCAACTTCTTGTCATTTCAGGACTGGATTACTGCAGTGCTCTACTGGCAGGCCTTCCAGCATGTGACACTAAGCCTCTGCAGATGATCTAGAATGCGGCAGCACATCTAGTTTTCAATCAGCCAAAGAGAAACCCATTTCACATCCCTCCTGATCTCACTCCACCGGCCCGTTGCGGCCAGAATCAAATTTAAGATTGTGACGTTGGCTTTCAGAATTGCCACTGGAACTGCACCTCATACATCAAATCACTCCTACACGTGTACCCTCCCTACCTCACTGAATAAGCGACGCCTTTCTTTCACACTCTCCAAAAACTTTCACCCTCTGTGTTCCTCTTTGGTGGGATGAGCTGTCAACCTCCACCTAAACTGCTGAGACCATCACATCTTTTATGAAGCAGCTGAAGACAAGCACTTAACCACCCCAACACCCTTAAACCAATGCACTTATCTGCATTTCTTCCCTTCTCTAGCTTGATTCCTAATCTAGTTGTGGAATTAACCTGGCATTATAATGATATTGTTGACTCCTTGTAGGACAAACTGCTTTAGTTCCCCTCTTGTAAGCATATATGTAAATGTACATCATTTAAGTTTTTCCTTGAAAGCCACCACCACAGACAACTTTGGATATTGGATTTAAGTTTGTGCACATTTTATTTTATACTACAACTTATGGAAATCCAAGTCTGCTAGTTGCCAGTTTGGTTTATTTGGGTAATTGAAAGTGGTTTTCCAAAATCACCAGTGAACCTGAGCAGGTGTTCTGGGGTCCAGTTTGGTGTAGTTATCGCTAATTATAACTTTAATTGCAATAAAGCTAAAATGAAATAAAGTATATTTATGCTTAGCTTATTTAGGTTAAATTTGTTTGCGAATAAAAAATGATTACTAAAATGTAAGCTAAAATGAAAATAAAAACTTAGCTAATTCAAAATATTAATTAATACTGTAATTGTAAACAAAGTCAACTGCAAACACATATTCCCAAAATATGATTCATATAAACAATCTAATTCACATTCCCAAAATAAAATGAATATTTATGAAATATGACTCACAAAGGTGTATTCAGATTGAAGAAATATGATTCACAAATGCGAAATACAATTCATGGATGCACATGCTTTTTTTAATTTGATTTTTTACATTTATTCAAAAATGATTTTTTATTATTATTAACAATTAATTCATACATGTTAAAAACATTAAAAACTATTTGCATAGTGAATCATGTTTTTTTAATGTGAAATTGGTTACACATTTGTGAATATATATATTTTTAAATATATGCATTTTATTCTGTAAATTACGGAGCCCCCCTAGTCCCACTTTGTCAAAAAAAATTATTATAACTATCTCGTGGCCTCAAGATAAGTAACTCGTGGCCTCAAGATACTATCTCGTGGCCTCAAGATAGTATCTCGTGGCCTCAAGATAGTAACTCGTGGCCTCAAGATACTATCTCGTGGCCTCAAGATAGTAACTCATGGCCTCAAGATAGTAACTCGTGGCCTCAAGATAGTAACTCGTGGCCTCAAGATAGTAACTCGTGGCCTCAAGATAGTAACTCGTGGCCTCAAGATAGTATCTCGTGGCCTCAAGATAGTAACTCATGGCCTCAAGATAGTAACTCGTGGCCTCAAGATACTATCTCGTGGCCTCAAGATAGTATCTCGTGGCCTCAAGATAGTAACTCATGGCCTCAAGATAGTAACTCGTGGCCTCAAGATAGTAACTCGTGGCCTCAAGATAGTAACTCGTGGCCTCAAGATAGTAACTCGTGGCCTCAAGATAGTATCTCGTGGCCTCAAGATAGTAACTCGTGGCCTCAATCTTGAGGCCACGAGATAGTATCTTGAGGCCACGAGATACTATCTTGAGGCCACGAGTTACTATCTTGAGGCCACGAGATACTTATCTTGAGGCCACGAGTTACTATCTTGAGGCCACGAGATACTTATCTTGAGGCCACGAGATAGTTATAATACATTTTTTTGACAAAGTGGGACTAGGGGGGCTCCGTAGTAAATGTTAATTAGGTTATAAATCATGTTTCACAAAAAAATTATATATGAACAAAAACTGTGCTAAATTGCACATGTAAAACAGTGTGATACTCACCATGTTGACAAATGTATCGGGTTCGGACCTAAAAGTACAAGTACAAGGAAAAAGACCAGCAATAAAGTTTGTGTTCAGATCAAAGAGCCTTAGATTCCCCTCAAACTCAGCTTCACCCAAAGTAAACTATTTAAAAGACACTGCACTTTAAAATAACCGTTACTTGTCATTTCTTTGATTTACAGAGTCTCTCCTTTAGCATTGCATGGATGCAGTAAAAACAGCGATAAAGAAAATGTCAAGCAAACTGCTTCTGAAGGACAAACATCAACAATCTATTTACCTACCTGAATGTCCTCAATTCATCTGCCATACACAATCCCAGTGGCCATTTCACCTCTGCCCCGAATCACAATGCTGAGTGAACAGATCACCAGAAAATAGGACAAGTGTGACTATCATAAGACTCAAATCTGGAAATGAACACAAGCCTGCAGCAACGTCTGGCCCCAATTACCTCCTCCAAACAAATTTGCCGTTCACATTGTTTGAAGCACTGCTACGATGAGCAATAATAAAGCATTCTTCTAGTTATATTGAGCACTTACTCGCCATCAAGTGACACTCACTCAAAGGCAGGAAATGAAGTCACAACGCAGCTTATCATTACAGCTCACTAATTGGTCAGCTTTCCCGCCTTGTATCTCAGTGAGATCCACTTTACAGTCTCTTCTCCAGGAAGATATAAACATGCCATATTTGGTGCTTCATAATTGCAGTGCCCACCAGGGTGAAGTAAACGTTCATTTCATAGCCGCCTGAACAGAGATCAATGTTAACGTCCCGTCCTAGACCGCTGATAATGGTAGATGGGAGATACGCATGCGATAAACATCTCTCAAGCGCAGAGTCACTTTGAAAGGCTAAAATGAGGCAAGTAGCAAACACTCATTGAAAATGCTAGGTCAGGTATGATGGAGTGGTATAGGATTCGGTAATTATCTGTTTTCGTTGGAAAGGCTGGAATCGATGAGCCTTCGCTGGATGGCTTACGCTAAAGTCAAGTGACTTTGCTAGCGTGCATAATAAACAGCTCACCTCAAGGAACTTAAAGGGACACGCACAAATGAAAATGTAACTTTCTTTCTTCTGTGTAACAAAAAGAAGATATTTTGATTTTCTTTTGTCCATGCAAAGAAAGTCATTGGCGTCCAATGTTGTTTTGGACCCCATTAACTTTCATTATATGGGCAAAAACGTATTTTATATTCCATTGAATAAAATAAATCATACAAGCCTGGAACAACAAGAGGCTGAGTAAATAATGGCATAATTTTCACTTTTATGGTGAACTATCCCAATAAGATTGCTTGCTCACAAAGTGCAAACATTTGAATAATCATACATTTGCATTTCCTGCCACCAAGGGCGTAGTAATGATCTGAAAAAGTGGGTGGGGACATTATCACATTGGTCATGAATATTCAATAGAACAGCTTCTTCTTGGTTTCTAAAGCTGTCTTTTTACATGCCTGGCTACAATTTCTTATTGCACCATTACCAAGCAAAATGTCATGATTACTTACCGAAAGTAGGGGAAACGTTCTGCCAGAATTTGGATTTGTACGTTCCGGGAGTCTGGAAAATAGTTCCCTTTCCTACAGTCATTTAAAACAAAGTTTTCGCTTCGTAATTCACGCTGCAGTTATCATTTGTGGGATCACATCACTTTAACGTCTGAAAGCGTGAGTAAACATTGGGATAGCAATGTTATTAGCCCATTTATTTTAGCAAGGAGGCACAATTCCAATTCCCGTCATCTACCCTTGAGATATCACGGCGCCCGGTTGTTTATGAGCCCACCCAATCTCCAGCAAAGTGGCAATGTGAGAGATTCGTGCAGATGGCAATGAACTGTGTGCTTTGCCACGATGAGAAGAGAGAAGGATGCAATCTCTGGAATGATGGCTGACTACGACGTTGCCCAATATGCTTCACTTCAGTTAAATTTACAGTCTCGGTGTCTTCCACGTACGGCTTGGGAAGAGAGGCTGTCCACAGTTTCTCTCCTCACTGCTCAATTCTTCCCCTCCCTCCCTCTTACTCGCTCTGAGACGTCCTTGGGAGCAAGCGTACTTTTATATTTCTCTAGAGATGTTTTTAAATATACCGCTGTCACTGTTGGTCTGCCAATAATACCCTTTTTACCTGTTCATCTATCATCGGTGACATTGCAAGTGGAGGATCTGCATTTTGTTGTAATAGCAGACAGGTCTGCCGACGCAGAGCATGTCAGGATTTATCAAGATGAATCAAAGGCTTTTCGACTCTTAAGTGCTCTACTGGGGAGTCAAATGGGGCGTCTGTGCTATAGGACCCCTGGATACTTAGATTTGTCTACAAGCAGAACCTAAATAGGCAGAAACAGGTTTAAAAGTTTTAGCATCAGGACTGGCTATTGAAAACTTTCGCAGGATATGATACACGTTACAATAACGTGTCATAACATAATAACATAATTTGATCGTGTCTTAAACTGCAGCAGATGTGTGGAAGAGAGACTCAGCATTAGTTAGTAATGAAATGAATAAAAGCACCCTTAATGCTGAGTACAATTCACATACCATCCGTCCTAAATAGTATTCAAAATTAGAATTAGTGTCCCAAATCGTATATGTTGAAATGAGTATTCCAAAGACGGCTAATACTATAACGGGTAATACTGCCCACAAAACATTGTACATTGGACGAGGATTTGATTAGAACTACAAATAAATAAAAAGTGTTAAAAACTACAAA